CTAGCTGCCAGTTCACGGGGTTGCGACAATCTACGTCTTTACGGGTGCATTTCACGGTGGTGCCCCCCTATGTGCCATTCAGGAGGAGGTCACGCGCCGCGCTCCACTATTATTGATTTCCGTTCGTCGCCGCATCCCCGCATCTTCCCCGACCATCTCCCCCCGCATCCTCCCCGCATCCTTGGTGAGCACCTCAGGGGTCTTTTTACAAATTCAGCATGGTGTCTACATGCTCAGGTGTGCTTGTGTGGAGATACCTTTTATGTTGAATGTCTGCTTTGCTTGGTACATCTAATCAAGAGCTAATAATACCTCTTAGCTTATTAGGTATTATTAGGTATTATTATTAGGTATTAGGTATTATTAGCTCTTGATATAATGTACAGTGATACAATTTGTAATGAAAAAAAAAGAATGGGAAAGATCAATAAAAATTTTGAGTCGGCCCCTTTTTGGCAGGTCGGTCAGGTGAGGGAAAACAAACAATATTTTTATTATGGCCCCCCAAGATCGCGTCGCGAGAGGTTTTGCGACGGCTCATTGACGAAAAAAATCACAAAAAGCCTACCTACCTACCCAAACTTTTCAGCCTGGGTCAGGTGAGGGCAAGCAAATATTTTTTTAATTGTGGCCCTGTCTGTCTGTATTTCTACTCCGATAAAAAAGTCGATAGTTTCGTGGTTAGATCTCCGTGGATTTTTTAAATAAAATTATTGAGGCTAGTGAATCGCACTTGTCTGAATCAAACATGATATATCTGCCCCATACTACATCAATGCAAATCCCAGAATCTGAGAAAAGGCTAGAAGAAATACCACCAGTCCTCCTCCCTGAACGTTTGATTCAGGGCAACAGCGTTTTTGAAAACTGGAATCTAGCCAAAATTTCCCGACTTTGACTCCTTTGTTGTAACTTAAATACTGGAAAAATTGGCGAGACACCCCCCAATGCAACCAGTACGCGGCACGATGTGTTTATTTTTATGACGTGTAACCGTGCGGTTGAACGTATACCCAGGGTGCGAAATTGATGCCAGTCCAGAGTCAAATACTCCCTGATTTACTGTCAGACTCCCTGATTTGACATATGCAGGAGTCCGTCTGACTCCCTGAAAATTCTGCTATACTAACTAGTTCGTTCCAGAGCACGGCCTCGCGGAATTGCCGTATATTTTCAGCAAATCTTTAATTTTGAACTTCAGACTACGGACTCCCTCATTTTGCTGTGGACTCCCTCTTTTTGAGGGCAGGGAGTCCGACTCTCTTGTTCAAAACTTAATTTCTACTCAAGCCTGTATACCACTGGGTATTCAAACAAGAGCCGCAGAGCGTCTGGGCTCATCTGAGGTCTGTTGCTACGATTATAAACGTAAAATTTCAGTCGTGCGTAGTACCACATTTGTTAGGCGCAGATATGCAGACACGCAGTTGCGTACACATCATTGTTAGGACACGCCCACTATCGCAGATGGAGGGTAGGGGGAGGAAATTTTTTTGGCACACCACTGGGCATAGCACTTTTCAAAGTCAAATATCTCTTCTTCTGGGCCTTCAATTTTGATGGTTAAAATGTCACAAACACTTTCTGTTTTCAGGTTATTTTTGAGAGCTGTTATAACCAAATTATATGTCTGCTAAACCCCTCTCCACATCAACTGTTGTGGATGGTAGGGTCACAAACAGCTGGCCCATCAGAGAGATGTTTGGGTAAGAAGATTGGTGTTGCATTAAGACCATGCACCAGAAGTCACAAATATATTCAGTATTCCCCACTTATATTAGTACTTATCAGTTTTACATTTTTTTACAGTACCTCACGCACAATACACACGCACGTGCACGCACGCACGCACGAGCATGCACATACGCGCGCACGCACGCACGTACGCACGCACGTACGCACGCACGCACGCAGTACAGTGTAGCCAGTACTATACACACAGTATAGTTATTTACAGTAATACTAATAGTTTACAGAAGAGTTTTCACAGCACATGCATACATGCACATCGTACTACTTTTGTAACTTCGGGATGCTATTGAACCAGAAAAATTGGCTACTCATCAAAGCTGACTATATTCCCCAGTTAGTACTTATCAGTTTTACTACTTCTTACAGTACCTCACACACAAACACACACCTACACGCACTCACGCACGCACACGCACGCACGCGCGCACACACACGCGTAGTAAAATCATTTGACTTTTGCCAGCGCCGTTGCCGTGTGTGTGTGGAGACAGGTCTTTTCTAAACCCCAGGGTTTCTTCTGAGGGAAAATTAGACAATGGTGGTAATGCCCAGTTTGGGGAAAAGCGCACATGATGGATTCAAATCAGGAGTAGATAATAGGGAATTCCCTATTATCTACTCCTAATTCAAATGCGTGCAGTAGGCACAAATGTGGATTCTGTTAGCAGACCTACTAAGTTTCACGCTGCGCATTTCGCGGGAGACTCACGCATCTGGACCCATTCTCCCGCACTCCCGCATGCCCTACGCATTCTCACGCATTAATTTTCACGCCAAAGAAAAAAAAACGGAAAAAAACAGCCCGCGACACCCGTTAGCCACGTCCGTGGCTGTGCACATCGTGGCTCGTGCTTGCTGGCTGGGCGGCATTGATTGAAGTACGGGGGGGGGGGGAATGCACTGATTGTTACAGTCGCGTGGGTGTGGTTATTGCTGTATATGTAGGGGTGGGCACCGCGCTGGTATGAGGAAGCGACAGCAAAACTTTCCCGGAATCGAGGAAAAAGCTGCAATCGGGAATGACACAGGAGTGTGCCGGCACGCAAAAAGAAACGTTGCTGTTTCGACGATCAAATAGGATCGATGTTCCATGATGCTGGGTCATGTTTACTGCGTTTTATGTCATGTGGGCTGGGAAAATTACGTTCGACATTTTTTTCGCCAAATAAGACTTTCAATCGCCAGATTACTAATTTGTTCGCCATTGGCGAATTGGCGAGTGGGTAGCGAGGGCCCTGCTAAGGTGGAGGAGGAGTAGAGAGAGGGGAAGGAGAGGGAGAGGGAGAGAGAGAGAGAGAGAAAGAGAGCGAGAGAGAAAAAGCAAGAAAGAAAGAAAGAGTGAGAGAGGAATTAGCAAGAAAGGGAGAGAAACAAGGGAACAACGGATTGAGAACTCCGCATGCCAGTGAAAAAAATACACCGGGGGTTGGGGCGATTTAGCCCCAGAAATGCCAAAAAGAGCCCCGGAAATGCCAAAAAGAGCCCCCATAAATTTGCATAGAGTTCAATGCAAACCAAATTTTAGAATGCTATTTTCATACACGCGAGCTTGAAAAGTAGCCCCCCAAAAATGAATTTTTTCCCTGAACGCATGCATACCTGTTCAATAGCTAACTCCTCGGATTTCTTCATGGCTTCTGTCATCAGATTCCTATCTGCCAGCTGTAACAATAATAACATAATACTAACATTAGATTTCATTATTATTTACAGACTTATAGATTTTAGAGTTATTATTTTTAGAGCGGACATTAGCGCTTATACGATAGCAATATCAAGCAAAAACTTTTCAAAGCTCACGTCTCAGACATCACACATTGTCACCTACAGTAGCTGTTGAAGATGACACACTCACACACGCGCACGCACGCACGCACGCACGCACGCACGCACGCACGCATAGACACACACACACTCACACATATAGGTATGCACGCACGCACACACACACACACACACTCACACATGGAGGTATGCACGCACGCACGCACACACATGTAGATATGCACGCACGCACGCACGCACGCACGCACACACCATTCACACACACACACGCACGCACACACACCCCACACCCCACACGCACACTCACCCCGGGTTTGTACGATGGCAGTCCGAGCCCGACTCCTATCGTGGCGCTGTAGGGGTTGATGACGGAGTTGTAGTGCATGTTCTTGTGGTAGCTGAGCCGTATCACGTCGGAGTCCGTCCGGTGGTTGCTCTGAAACAGCTTGATAGGATCTGCAACGCAAGACGCAGAGAGTCAAATACTCCCTGATTTACTGTCAGATTCCCTGATTTGACATATGCAGGAGTTCGTGTGACTCCCTAAAAATTCTGCTATACTAACTAGTTCGTTCCAGAGCACGGCCTCGCGGAATTGCCGTATATTTTCAGCAAATCTTTAATTACCACTGGGTATTCAGAAAATAATTGTTCCTCTACTAATAGTATTAGTAAAGAAGCAATTATTTTCTTTAACTTTTCAGTTATATTACTGTATTAGTAACACGATAATGTAACGCTTAGCTGATACTACACAGGACACTGCTTAGGTGCAAATCCAGTTTAGGCACTGTATGCATGAAAAAGCGAAGAACAGATTTACATGTATATAATAAAGTGCGTGCTATTTAGCACACACATGATGACGCATAACAAACTGGATTTGCACACCGCAGTTTGGGACAGCTGTATATATATAGTACGATGACGCATAACAAACTGGATTTGCACACCGCAGTTTGGGACAGCTGTATATATATAGTTCCCATGTGTGCTAAACTAATCCGGGGTGTTAAACTAGGTTTGGGTCGATTTGCACACCCACTCTGCATCTTCCTTCTCCCCCGTCTTTCCTCCTCCCCCGTCTTTCCTTCTCCCCCGTCTTTCCTCCTCCCCCGTCTTTCCTTCTCCCCCGTCTTTCCTTCTCCCCCGTCTTTCCTCCTCCCCCGTCTTCCCGACCCAATCCTAGTTTAGCATCCCGGATTAGTTTAGCATATATCATTAATATATGCGAACTACATATATATACCACATACAGGGGTACCGAAATAGGATTGAGCAGTCTTTCTTCCTTCCCCCCACCTTTCCTGCTCAATCCTAGTTTGGGTGCGGATCCTGCAAATGTGTTTTCGCAAATGTGCTGAACTAGGATTAAGCCCCCCCTCATCCGTTTTCCTCCTCCCCCATCTTACCTCCTCCTCGCCTTCCTCTTTCTCCCCCATCTTACCTCCTCCTATATTTACTACTTCTATATATCCT